ACTCTCCGCTTGTGAGTTTGATCAGAGATGCCCAGGTTGAGGGCATGCGACCAGAGAATTGGAAACTGGAGAGGATCAAGGGTGAGAATACCCGATTTGAGCAGGATAGTCGGGGATTATTGACCCGATGCGGTCGGGTTTGGGTCCCGATGTCTGGTGGAGTTAGGCAGACGATTATGGAGGAGGCTCATAAGTCTCATTTCTCTATTCACCTGGGGGCCACCAAGATGTATCGGGATTTGAGTTTGAGCTATTGGTGGCTGTGCATGAAGCGAGAAATCGCTTGGTACGTCGAGAGGTGCTTGACCTGTAGGATGGTCAAGGCCGAGCATCAGAGGCCGCATCGCAAGCTGTAGCCTCTAGAGATTCCCATGTGGAAATGGGAACAGATCATGATGGATTTCATTACCAAGTTGCCAAGAACGGCGAAGGGATTTGATGCGATATGGGTCATCGTGGATCGGTTGACCAAGAGCGCCCATTTCTTGGCGATTCAGGAGAGATCGTCGGCCGAAAAGTTGGCCGACGTGTACGTTCGCGAGATCGTGTCTCGCCACGGGGTTCCCGTTTCCATTGTCTCCGATCGGGATGTCAGGTTTACCTCCCGTTTCTGGCAGAAATTCCACGAGGAGCTGGGCACGCGGTTACACTTCAGCACGGCATTCCATCCGAAAAGATGGTCAGAGCGAGCGGACCATTCAGACCCTGGAGGATATGCTGAGGGCTTGTGTCATTGATTTTGGTGGGAGCTGGGATTCCCACCTACCACTTGCAGAGTTCGCCTACAACAACAACTATCATTCCAGCATTGGCGCCCCGCCATTCGAGCTGTTGTACGGGCGGAGATGTCGCACCCCGGTTTGTTGGGGTGAGGTTGGTCACAGGGTGATGGGTCGGACGGAGGTGGTCTTGCAGACTACCGAGAAGATTCAGCAGATTAGGCAGCGGCTGCAGACCGCTCAGAGTTGGCAGAAGAGCTACGCCGACAGGCGTCGGTCTGAGTTGGAGTTCCAGGTGGGTGACATGGTACTCCTGAAGGTCTCACCATGGAAGGGTGTGATCCGCTTCAGGAAGAGGGGGAAATTGGGTCCCCGATATATTGGGTCGTTCAGGATCGTTGCCAGGGTTGGCAAGGTGGCCTACAGGCTAGAGCTGCAGGAGAAGCTTAGTCGGATCCACAGTACTTTCCACGTTTCGCAGTTGCGGAAGTGCATTGCGGACCCGGAGGCAGTGGTGCCACTGGATGACATTCAGGTTGATGAGCGCCTGAATTATATTGAGATGTCGATTGCTGTTTTGGAAAGGAAAGTGAAAGTCCTGCGCAACAAGGAGGTTCCGTTGGTGAAGATAAAAATGGGAGCATCGGAGGGGATCCGAGTGGACATGGGAGTCGGAGGTTGAGATGCGGGAGCATTACCCGGAGTTATGCGCTACAGCAGACTTCGAGGACGAAGTCTAAGTTAAGTGGGGGAGAATTGTAACATCCCAACCGTCAGGTATCGTTATTATTCCATTTAGATTTCATGTTTTAAGGTCTACTCGACGAGTTGACGCTATGACTCGTCGAGTAGCAGCGGGCCAGGACACGTCAATTAATGAGTGACTCGTCGAGTTGGCATGGGGGACTCGACGAGTAGGAGCTGGCAGTGGAAACCCTAATTCTCAGGGCTTTTGCACCCTATATATTGGACCATTAGCGCCTCCCACTGTCCTCTATCACCCCTTGAGAGACAGAAACCCTAATTTCCGTGAGTGTGAGCTTGGAGAGTGTTTTGGAGCTTTGATAAGTGATTTTGTGAAGGGAACTTGTAGATCAAGAGGCTAGCATCAAGGGTTTTGTGTGGATCCAGAGTCTACTTCAGCTTGGGCACGTTTTAGAGGTAACCAGCTGTCACCTTAACCTCTTTTCTCCTAGAATCATTCATAGGTGAATACTATGGTTTTCTTTAGCTATTTATGAAGGGATTATGGTTTGGGAGCTAGATCTGAAGTTGAAACTTCAGATATGAACCTCTTTTGAGTCCTAAGTCCATAAAGTTTCCAGCTCTTGAAAGGATGAGACTCTCCTAAGGTGTAAAGTTCCATTAGAAGCTTAGATTGGTCATTTAGAGCCTTTAGGGCCTTGCATGTGTGTAAAGTTTGCAACTTTACGTGTTAATCATGCCTTAGAAGCATGGATCTGTAATCTGGAACCTTGGAATGACTTAATAAGTGTCTGCATGGATGAAGGTCTGCAAGGACTCGGCGAGTTGCATAGTCAACTCGGCGAGTCTTATGAAGATGGTCATGAACTCGTCGGGTTGATGAAGAAACTCGGCGAGTCCGTTGAAGATTGCCTTGAACTCGGCGAGTCGTTCGAAGACTCGGCGAGTCGCTAGGGTTTCTCCCAATTCTTGGACACGTATGAACTCTGCGAGAAAAAGAGGAACTCGACGAGCCAATCAAGGATTTCACGAATTCTCGAGTTCAGGAAGGACTCGACGAGTCGGTAAACTACACTCGACGAGTCGAGTCAACATGGACTGTTAACTTTGACTGTGGACTTTGACTTTGACCAAGAATTGACCAGTTGACTTCTGAGGGTATTCTGGTAATTTGGAAATTTATGAAAAAAGGTTTTATGGTAACTATATGTGGTGGAGTTCGTGTTGGTGATCCGGGAGTTGAGCTTTCTAGTTTCGGACGTCAGTTGCGAGGTGAGTTATCCTCACTATATCAACAGGGTCTAAGGCACCAAGGCCGACCCTTATGGATTTGTATTTGGATTATTACATGATATGTGCATTGTTTCGCATCCTGTTAGTTAGGATGGTGATATGCTTACGCTTAGTGACCGGGTTCGGTCGATATCCTAGTTACAGGATTATGCTATGATATGACTTGGGTAGGTCGGTGTCCTGGTTTTAGGACGTTGCTATGCTATTTGGTCTGTTAGATCGGTTTGTCTGTTATTATGATAGCCTATGAATGTATATGCACATGTTGTTTGATTTGGGTGTTGGGTTGAGGCGGTCCTGCTTTGTGCTGAATGCCAACATATCCAGGGCGGTCCGGATAGACTACAAAACCCAAGAGGGTATGATAGTCAGACCGAAGGCCCGGCGAGCGGTCCGGATAGGCTGAAGGCCCTGCGAGGCGGTCCAGACGTGCCAAAGGCTCGGAGAGCGGTCCAGATAGACTGAAGGCCTGCGAGGCGGTCCAGTCAGGCTGAAGGCTCATTATGCTTGCTGTTTGGTTATATGTTTATATGACATGGTTATGTGGTTGGTATTTTGGGGGATAGCTCACTAAGCTTTCAGGCTTACAGTTTCAGTTGTTGTTTCAGGTACCTCTGGCGATCGCGGGAAGGTGAAGGCATGATCGTATCGCTCCTCTCGCTGTTATAACTTTTATGATTTGATACTGGGATACTCTGATAACTGTATTTTGAAAACAAATTATGTAATGACGTAACGGATTAAAATGTTTTTAAAAGTTTAAATTGACTTGAATTTTTAGGTGTTACATAAGTACTTTGTATGTATAATTTTTTTTTAAAAATTAAACGTTAATGATGAAACATTAATTTTCTAAACTAAAATTTAACAATAATAATTTATTGTTTTAAAAAAAATATTGTAATCGTATTTGTGATTAAAAGTAAACTAATATAATTTTTGATAATTATTTAAAGATAAAAAAGTAATTACATGGGTAAAAAGTTATTGGAAAAAAAAATTGCATGGACTTATGCTGGTACAGTAACAAAGTATAGGGACCAAATTCAGACATTAAATAAAAAGCATGAAGTTGGATTAGAGGAGGTATAAGAATTTTTAAATCAAAAATGGTTTCCCAGTTGTCAGAAAAAAAAAAAAGGAAAAATTGAAAATTCCTTATAAATACTTCTTAGTTTTTCGATAAATTTATGTTATTAGGATAGGATGTTTTTTTTTAATTTTAAATGAAAGATTTTTAAAATTACAAAAAAAAATGGAAACTTGAATTTTAAATTTTGAAATCCTCATAAATACTTTCCGGAAAATAAAGAAATATCAAAAAAAAAATCAAAAATTAAGAATTTCTTAAAACTTGCCACGGGTCAATTAGCCTATTTAAAAATGAGACATGTGACATTTAAAGATTTTGTTTATTAGAGAAGGTAGATTTCTTGTATGAGATTTTTTTCAATGTCCATAAAGGATCATGGTATCAACAATTTGTATTTTCATCTGATCGTTTTTTCAAACTAACTAATGTTTTTTAATATGCTTTTTAGGTTTCACAGACTATCACGATTTTCATACAGCAAATAAACAAATCAAATATATATATATATATATATATATATATATATATATATATATATATATATATATATATATAGAGAGAGAGAGAGAGGTTGAATTGAATTAGAAAAATGTTATTTTATTTTTTCTCAAGACAAACTTTGGTCAATATTTAAATCGAACACAGAATGTAATTATCTGAAAAAAAAATAATTAGAATAAAATCAAATAATACCGGCATCCAAGTGTATCCCCCCACTCTCGCACACAGTAGTTTGTCGGAGTCAACAATACCAGTGTGCTTCAATTCCTCTCTCTCTCTCCAACACAAACATACACACACTCACTACTGCGTGAGTGCGTGTTCTTCCGATTTCTTCAAATTTAGACTAAGTTCTTGATGAATTTTGAGTATAAGTAAACTAATCCAGTTCAATCAACACATATACGTTGCATTTGAGCGTGTCAGATAAAATGTTGCTGAAGTTTTAGATGCTTGTTCATCTGTTTCACGTCAATTTCAAGTGAGCGAATTCCGTTTTTCTCCTAAATTAACATCTCCTGTTTCTATATCGTCCGAACTTCGTAAGGAAAATGCTGATGGATTTTCTCTGAAGAATGTTCTCGACGCATTGGCCGGGGAATTAGAACTGCTTTAATAGTTTGAACCTCTAATGACGACTCGGAGCTCAACATTAAAACTTGAGATCTTCAGAAGCATTGTGCGTCTTAATGTTTAGAGGTGAGTTTCCATTGAAATTCTGGCGTGCGTGTAGTTTTGTTCGATGAAAAGTTCTTCTGTTTGTACGCTATTTACAGTTTAGATATATTAGGTTGAAATCTCGTTGTTTCGTCGGAGAGTTCATGTAGTTATATATTACTGTTCATGTAATCATATATTGTGTTTGTTCGTGAATTTGTTTAGCGAAATTATCATTTACTTGCATGCCATTTGCAACTAGCCAAACTAGCATAAAATCTGTATATTTAATAAACAATTAATGCATTCTGGTCAGAATTATTGTTCGTTCGAAGTTTAGTTAGATAAAAAAAATTTGTTCTGTAGAAAATTATCAGAATGAGATGATTGTTATGGTAATCTAATATTCCTAATTAAAGTTCATCGATTAAGATTGATTAATACATAGATAATCTGTTACTGTGGAGCTTAACATGTTAATTGCTTTGATTATCGTGGATTAGCTGAATGAATTAATCTGTAACTTGTTCACATGTACATGAAGATTTGCTAAACCAAATCGTTGTGTCTTTTCACTTGAAGCATGGGAAATCCACAAAGTTCAAGACTGATGCAATAGAATTTTCTTGTTTCCTACAGAAATAGACAGATTTAGGTTGCTATGATACAGAGATAACATGCTACAAGGAAACTTGCATTTGTATAACCAATTAGATACATGCCTTTCCATTTATAGACAATTCATTTATAGCGTTGATGTTATATTGGGTTCTCTTTTCATTAATTCCTCTTTTTCTAGATAAGTTACTGTCACTATTATCCAAATCTTCTTTTTGTGTGGCTGAACCAGGAAAGACACTCGACATGGATTACCACAAGCTTCATTTGTGTGAAAAAATCCTCATGAAACTCTGCTCCAGTCAACTATTTTTGCAAGTTTTTGTCATAGTTTCCCTTCTTCCTCTGGTGTTTGCTGACCTGAACTCAGATAAACAAGCTCTACAGGCTTTTGCAGCTGCTGTTCCACATGGTTCAAAGCTCCAATGGGACAATTCTACTAACATCTGCACATCATGGGTAGGCATTACATGTACACCTGATGCCACTCGTGTCCTTATTGTTAGACTTCCTGCAGTTGGACTTACAGGCCCCATACCATCCAACACTCTTGGAGAGCTTGATGCCTTGAGAGTTCTCAGCCTTCGATCGAATTTCTTGAATGGAAGTTTACCATCTGATCTCCTTTCCCTTCCTTCCCTCCGCTCTCTTTTCCTTCAACATAACAACTTCACTGGTAACATTCCAGACTTTCTTCCTCGCCGACTTCATATCCTTGATCTATCATACAATTTCTTCACTGGAAACATTCCAGCAACTATCCAGTTTCTCTCACGCCTTACCGGATTATTCCTCCAAAACAACTCCCTCTCTGGTCCAATCCCAAATGTCACATTCCCAAAACTCAAACATTTCAACATAAGCAACAATCATCTCAACGGTTCTATCCCTTCATCCTTCAAAGCTTTACCAAGTGCATCGTTTCTGGGAAACCCTTTCTTGTGTGGTGTACCTCTCAAGTCTTGTTTACACCATCCTCCTTCCTCAAGGAAATTCAAATTCCCATTATGGGCTATTATAGCGATTGCAGCAGGAGGAGGCGTTGCAGTTTTGGTTTTAGTTATTATCTTTGTCCTCTGCTGCTGTCTTAAGAAAGAAAGTGGTGATATAACTAGGATTGAGAGAGGGAAGTCTTTCACTAACAGAAATGGTCAGAAGCCAAGTGAGGAGTTTGGTAGTGGGGTGCTAGATACTGATAACAACAAGCTGGTTTTCTTTCAAGGCTCTTCTTATAACTTTGATCTTGAAGACTTGTTGCGTGCTTCTGCTGAGGTGCTCGGGAAGGGTAGTTTCGGAACAGCTTATAAAGCAGTCTTGGAGGAGTCAACCACTGTGGTTGTGAAAAGGTTGAAAGAAGTAGCAGCAGTCAAGAAAGACTTTGAACAGCAAATGGAGATAATAGAGAGAGTTAGTCATCACCACAATGTTGTCCCTGTTCGTGCTTACTTTTACTCAAAGGACGAGAAGCTTCTCGTGTATGACTATTTCTCCGGAGGTAGCTTAATGTCCCTCTTACATGGTAAGCATTTTTAAAAATCCAATCTTTTTTTTTTGTCTTTGTGAATTGTCATTACTAATTTAGAATAAAACCGCATGCAGGAAACAGTGGTTCTGGGAGAATACCACTAGACTGGGAAACTAGAATCAAGATCGCCCTTGGAACTGCAAGAGGCATTTCTCATATCCATTCTTTTGGAGGCCCAAAGTTCAGCCATGGAAACATAAAGTCTTCAAATGTTCTTATCAACCACGAAATGGATGGTGTGATATCTGATATGGGGTTAGTCCCACTCATGAACTTCCATCCTGCACCACCATCATCCCATGCTGCTGGATACCGTGCTCCAGAAGTTGTTGAAACCCGAAAACACTCTCACAAATCAGACGTATACAGCTTCGGGATCCTCCTACTTGAAATGTTAACTGGGAAACAGCCAGTTCAATCTCCAGGGAGAGGAGAGATGGTGGATCTGCCTAGGTGGGTTCAGTCAGTGGTGAGGGAAGAATGGACAGCTGAGGTTTTTGATATCCAGCTCATGAGATTTCATAACATTGAAGAGGAGATGATGCAAATGTTGCAGATTGGTTTGGCTTGTGTTGTCAAGTCACCTGATAGTCGACCCACCATCCATGAAGTTGTGAGAATGCTGGAGCAGATCCAGTTATACAACTTTGAAAACAGGCCTCCCTCTGAATAAATCAACCAAATCCAGAGATTCAGATGTGCAGAGTGCAGACTTCATCATTTCAGCTTTACACAGGTTAGTACGTATAAACTAGTTACTGAAGAAACTTAGGAAGAAAAACAAAACATATATTTGATTCTCTAATACTTAGATACTTACCCTATGCCTATCAGATTTGTTTGTGTACACGCATGGACTTGATTGAATAAGTTGCTTGCTTGCATTTACATCTGCTTAAAACAGTGAATTTGGTTCAATTTCCTCAATCTTTTTGGGTTTCTGTTTTTCACTATCTTTAAGCTCATACTCATACATGCATTTATGTTTTATCCCTTAAACGGTAAATGAGTAAAATTTGAGGATAATCTCTTAAATCTCATAAAGTATACTTAAATGCTTCAACCTCCTGAAAGGTTTTATCTAAAAAAGTACTGTATATTATTATCTTTATTATCTTGTAAGTATAGTTTGTATCAGCATATTTCATTGTTTAGTTTTATAAAATACAAAAAATGAAGGACAATTTTTTTCCCGGCATCAATTAAATTATTCAACTGTTTTGATCCGTATTTAAAATTATTTGTTATAAGGTATAACCTTAGATTGTAAGTGTTTATTTTGATAGCTCTATTTAAAACCCATTTCTTTTATTCTACTTGGACAATTTTGATTTTTTTTTCTCTATATTTTGGGATATATTGGATAAAAATGTGATAGTTTTGAAACTAAGTTGATGATAACACCTAATGTTGCCAAATCCTCGTATATGAAGTTGAAACTTAACTTGGAGATCCTCATTTTCACATCAAAAAGTAAAGCTTGACATCAACTTCACAAGATAACTCCACAAAAACTTCTACGACCTTACATAATACATTAATACTTGACATCATTATGCGGAATATTTTCTTCCAATAGCTAAACCATAGGTGTCATGTTGCTTACCATATGCTTACAATATACCAAGCTTGCATGCAAGAAAAATACAAGCTTTACAAAAGTAATTGAAATGTGCTAGGCTGAGGTGCACAAAAAAACGGACCTGCATGGGATTAGAAACTGGTTTGAGTGAAACCAATCTTACAGTCTTGGATTGGTTTGGCATATGTAAGGTTGGAAACAGTTTGTAAAAATGGATTAAAACCCGGTTTTCAAACCTTAAAAAAAACGATTTTTATATAATATAAAAATGTCGTTTTCATCCAAAATGTCATTTTCATCCATTATTTATTCAAATTGTTGTTTATACAAAGTTTTGGACGGGTTTTCACCCATTGTACTATCTTGTATGCCCAAGAAACACTTTTCTAAAAACTAAAAGTAAGAAAATAGCATTTGAATTTGAACCCTAAAACAATCCGAAGACTAAAAAACTTGCCTATTTCTATTAGATATGTTTTGCTTTCCGTTTTTAGATTGAATGTATTGCAAATTCTGTTTTGTTATTTTTCAAAATCAAAAATTATATAAAGTTTTTGGTTTTTTCAACGTGGTCTACATAACCCGGTTCCTAATCCAACACTCTCCGTTTGGATATTTTTGCTAGAAACCGGTTTGGCCAAAATCCGATCAAGATCTAGAAAAAATTCAGTTTGTGCACTAGGTAGTTTACTTGGCCCAAAGTTTTTGCCTACTTTCTTCTTTATTTATGCTTAAATTGTCTTTCAAGTTCTTACAAGCGGCCCAAAACACATATTTTGAATTAGGATTCAGTGGCAAAATACAATAAAACCCCTTCAAGAGAGATATTTTTGCTTATATGAAAATACAAATTTTACCACAACATAAAAATCCACTGATCGTAAAAAATTAAAGTTTCTAGATTTAGGATCAAAATCGACATTGTCCAACATGAGAATTTCATACCGCCTTCTTAAACATCAAAATATCATATTTGTCTAACTTAATTTGTTAATATCATATTTACTATTTATAAACCTTCAAAATATAATATTTGCCTAATTTTTTTTTACAATGTCTTTAACAGTTTTTTTTACTTTTGTCATGTATCATTCTAATACAATTCCTCATTAATATTATGCCACGTGGCAAGGAGATATATTGGGCAAATCACTATCAAATTTTAAATAATGGATTTTAAACTTTTTATAGAAACATTTACTTTTTGTAATTATATGTTAAGTTTGAAGTTATAACTAATTTTAAAATTTTGGTATATCTCTTAATTAACAAATTATTTAAAATTATTAATAATTGATTAATAATTATGAATTTTTATTATGAAAGTTTAATTAATTTTGCAACCGTGGTTTCCACGGGTTATAAACTAGTTATTATAATAATTAAATTTTTTTAACATTTTATCCTTACGTCTATAATAATGAAATATCTACTTTTAAATTATTGAAATGTCACTTTTTTGACAAACAAATTGTTTCATCTTCAGCATTTTCCATAGAATGTATGCATTTATTGTTTATTTTTTGTTGTTGAATATTGTCATGTTGTAGATGGTGGATTATTTAGATATTACTATTGATAGTTTGTTGTTTAAGAATGACATATCAGATTTTAATATTTAAGAATGACATATATGATATTTTGATGTTTTAAAAAGACATATACAATATTTTAAAATGAAGGGTAAAATAATATTTAGAAATCAACTACATAATTAAAATATGATTATGGAAATCCGATTCCATTCAATTGGTAAACCAAACACGATGACTACTAATTCTAGTTTCCATTTCCTTCACTTTCCTTAGGAATCCCACAAAACAAACGCGTCCTTAGTAGGTTAATAAATGACAACTTTTTGGAGGGAATCTTTAGCATGATAATTTTTGATTCCTTAATAATATAGAATCAATCTTATAAAATGGTATATTTCCCGGTCCACTAAATTAGAAATATACAAAACAACATATGGTACAAATAAAGAAGCACAATGTGCAAGAGAAAAGAGAAAGATGGGAGCAACGAGTTGACGAACCTACTTAAAGCAACAAAGTTGCAATACCATGTGTGGAGGATTGGTTATCTTGGGGTACCTCCCCATCGTTCCCGTTTATTTTTAACCGCTCGGGCACCCTTAGGGAAATCAAGTTTTAACTTAAGTAGCTATTTGTTTCCGCTCTTTTGCGAGTTGGTTCCAACCAACACCATTTTTTCATATAACTCCATCAACCCAATACATTGTTAGTGAATATAATATTAGAAGAAATGTTTTTGAATATCATAATGAACATAAAAAAAATATGTAATTTCGAGGTTAACAAGAAAGTTGTTTAGGTATAATCTAAGAAATCAATATCTCGATTTCAGACGAAATCAAAGATACATAAAACAATACACTTATTGATGTTTATGTTTTCGAGACAATAATTTTGTAGAGAAATGTTGTGTAAAAGATCCGTTATGTCAAATTGGAATCTCTTTTGAAATGGAGGGGAAAGTCATTATAAAGACATTAGAAGTTAATCTCTTTTGAAATGGAGAGGAAAGTCATGTATACTCCCAACAAACACGTTTGTTACATATGGAAACCATTACGATTTGAGGCGTTGTCATGCACCCTGCAAAAGCGCCCCCCTTGTCAGTGTTCGCTAATAGATACACAAACGGGTCTGTCCCTTGGACCCCACTAGGGTGCCGCCCTTGGAAGTTAGAACCCTAGTATGGGTAAGGCGTTGCCCCCGAATCTAGGTGTTCTAAAGATCAAATATATTCATGTGAGTGTGTATTTTGTACCTTCCAAGCTTTCAATATAACTAAAATTGAGGTGTTACTTATCTCAAGTAATCTTGATCATACTAAATAGTTTGATGACATTAGAATCACCGGCAAATAATATAACACGGCATATGGTGTCCATATATTTCTAGTTATTTTCTATATATAATATATATTATTTATGTAAATGTGGTTATAAAATATAATATATTTATTTAGTAAAATCTTTGTTTCGATAATATAGCAATTAATTCGTATTTATTATATACTAATTATTTACTTGGTTACAATTGTTTCCTCAAAGAGCGATTACCCCAATTTAAAAACAATTACATTTAAACCAAAACATATTATATCTTAAAAATTTCAAGTCAAATTCGCCACCACTTGAACAGTATGCTAAAAGAATAGTTTAATTGATTTAGCGAGTTAAATGGAAAATTTAACCGATTAATTCGTTACATTACGATTTACACGATTGCCATATAAGGTTCTAAATAACGTTAGGTATTAGGGTTGTTAGGAATAGATGTGGTTTGGTGTCAATGCCGAGTCTCAAGTCTTTCGAACATGTCGAGTCATGATCTTTTTTAAGGCACGACTTAAGATTATATCAAGGCCGCGAGAACAATTATCCACCAACCACTTCGTCAATGACACAAACGTCAAACACAATACTTTGGTATATAGTGTCTGGCTCCTGTGATTATTCAAAAAAATGGTCAAGATCGCAAGAGCAATTCTCCACCAATCACTTCGTCAAGAGCACAAACGTCAAACACAATACTTGGGTGTGACGCGTTCGCATGCAACGCACGTCCGTGTTAATTAATACGGAATCGAGCATTTAATCACGTGCGTCGAACATCCATGTTACGTCATTTAAGTGAGTTTTATATTTATTTTTGTTTATTTTTAATTTTATTTAAATTCAAAAAAAAATTAAACATATACACACTCGGTTTTCAAGTTTTTTTTATTTTTTTTCATTTTTTTTTTAATTTCTTTCGTTTTTTTTAAGTTAACTTTTTTTCGTTTTTTTTCTTTTATTTTTTATTTTTTAATGTGTTTACTACATACTTGAAGATAATAGTGTTTTGCTTACTTTTGTTTATATTTTTGATTTTTTTGATTTTTTATACTAAATATCAGTTCGAATTTTTAATGTTTAACAATTATAAAAGTTTAAATATTAAAAATATTAAGGATCATAATATCATCTATTCATACTATTTTTTAATCATATTATTTTTGAATCATAATATTTTCAATCATAGTATTTTAGATCATATCATTTTTGAATAATATGATTTTGGATCATAAATATATATTCAGTTAAATAAAGTATGTGTTCAGAAAACAAATTTTGGATCATTATATATTTTGAATTATTTAATTTTAACTCATAAAAGATATAATTAATGATCATAAAATATTTGAATCAAAATATTATTAGATCATAACAAATTAAGGATCATAAAACATGTTAAATCATAATTCTTTTTTAATCATAAATATTTTGAATCATCTCATTTTGGATCATTATATGTTCAATAGTAAAAAAGAAAAGTACTTATAATTTTTTAAAATAAAGTTTGGTATCTAAACAGTATTGTTTTCAAAAATTCATTTTCAAAAAGTTCATAATATACAATATATTATAAACCTTTAAAATGACTTTTAACTCAGAGAAAGAAAATTTTCACGTCTTATGATTTATAAAAATTTAGAATAATTTAAACAAAACGTTTGCATCCTTAACAATATATATATATATATATATATATATATATATATATATATATATATTACAAACTCATTAAAATAGTATTATGAAGAACTCTATCAATTGTTTTTTTGAATTTGGATAAAACGAATTTCCGTTATATTTTATAAAAACAATCACTACAAGAAATTTAGCCCTTTACTCACACATATTATGTGATGGTAAAAGCCCATTATGTGTAGGAAATTAGCTATACTTACACATAAATTAAGTGTTAACATGTGTTGGCTCATGACTGTAGATATAGATATTTACCCACACATAGTTAATGTGTGGGCATAGAGTAAGCAACACCTACACATGTATGTGTAGGTAAAACCAATACTTATGTGTTGGTAAAGGTCATGTATGATTTTTTGGGAAGATGACGTGGCCGATGACATGGACGATGACATGTGTCTTCATTGATGACGTGGATGCCAAGGTGGCAAATCATGTGACATGCCCCTAAAAAGTGTTAGTGACACGAGTTATAAAAAATGTGTTGGTAAAAGTATTTTATGTGTTGGTAAAAGTATTTTATGTGTAGGTAAATCTTGTAGATGTGTAGGTATTGATTTTTTTATGTGTTGAAAAAAATATGGATGTGTTGGTAAAAATGTAGTTATGTGTGGGCATTAACCATAATATATGTAGTTAATAATGATCCAATATGCACAACAAATACAAAATGGATTGGTGTAATTAGGAACATATGCGGGAAAAATACTAATTTTAATTAAAAAAGTTATAACATAGTTCAAACTTCAAACCACAAATAAAAAGTTCAACCACAAATAAAAAGTTCAACTACTAAAATTGAAATACTTCAACTACTAACTAAAAACTAGTTATAAATAGGTACGAGAATTCGGAAAATACTAAACATTCTTGAATATTCATTCCATATGATCAAGCTCATCAATATTCTCACCATGAGAATGTCCATACTGGGAGTGGGTAGATGTATCACAGTCAAATGTATCACCTTCGGATAGTCCTGCTGATGTACTTGAAGGAGGAGGCATGATGTTTTTCTCAATCAACAATTGTTCCATAATTGCACATCTTCTTTTCAAATTTTGAGTATCATCCACTAATTCATCATAAGTAGGGCGCTTTGAATTCTTATTAGTACTCGTGGTGTTACTAATACCAACAGGATCACGTCCCCACCCTGACAAACGAACAGAGTTGCGTCCAAGTACCTTCTCTAGGATAGACTTGTCGCTCATTGATTCCACGGTATTCTCGTTACTCGGCTTCATCATTTCTTCATGTTAGGACAAATTATAAGGCAAGTATACCAATTAATTACCAAATAAAGCACATTTAGAAGGGGTTACAATGGGTAAGGCCAGGTCATACTCCAATAATGGTGCAAGAAATGTTGAAATGAATGATAAAAAATGTTAAAAAAAATACCCAATCCGCTACTGAAAGAATAATTAGGTACATATGTGCAAATTATAATGCTAATATGCAAGTACAATGTCTAACATGCCAAAATGTCCATGTATGATGTAATGTCCAAGTCTGTTGCAATTAGTTCTTCAGTTGGTATACAATAGATGAGATTATTTCTTTACATTAAGCATTTATAAATAGTTACAATGTCTAATATGTTTATGCATTGTTAAGGACCGATGTAAGTACAATGCTACAATGCTAAATAAATATAATGCCTAAAATGCTAGTATGTTTATGCATTGTCAACGTCTGATGTAAGCACGATATTAAACAATTTATAATTAAAAAGTCTAATCCGTTTTAATAAGTACAAATAAAAAATGAGCAAGTAAACTTAAATATTTTGCAGCTGCATCGGTAGATCTCCACCCTTTTTTCTCATCCCAATGTGTAAGCCTCCAAGTCTCAATTTGACCCATTGAAGAATCCAAATCAAGTCCACGTTCGATGTGATAGCATATTGTACTTTTTGAACCATTTCTACTATTCATTTTACGCTTTCCACGAGCCATAACCCTCTTTTCTGCAGTCTCCTTTAAGGATTAACAACCAAATCAATCAAAAAAATATTAGATGGAATTTAGTAAATAGTATTATACTTCAAAAAATTTTAAAACATTACCATGTATTTTGGCTCACACCACATATCACAAAGATACTCCCAATCATATTTGCTACCCATATTTGGAGGGGGTGTAGTCTTTGCCTTTGTTGGATCTACTGGTCCTCCAATCCCTTTAAAGTAATCATGCAACTGAGATCTGTAGGTTCTCCAAGCCCTTGCCATGTGGCTGTCGATAACTTTGCGAACATTCGCATCCTCCACATCAATTTCAAAAAGGGTCTTCAAGAAACAAATATAATTAGTTGACTAGTGAATGAAATTTCAACAATCATACACTTAATTAGTAAAAACAAAACTTACACTTAGCATTCTAAGTTTAAGTCTAGAAATCCTACAAATTCCTAGTTCGCTTAAACTAATGTTCTGATACCAACTGTGACATCCCCAAATTCACGGCCAGAAAAGACCGGTTTAATTTATGCTTTTAAAATAATTTCAGAGTAATCCTTTGATTAAAAGAGTTGCGTAATTTGTTCCTAAAACGAAATATGATAAAATAAGATTTACCAAAGCATTTCTTAAAGAAATGTATTTTCATTATATAACAAAACTCGGGATGTTATGTTCCGATACAAACCAAAAGCATAAACGGCACATTATAAGCCTTACAACAGTTATATACACTACAGGCCTATAATCAAAATATCTTGATAAGTTGTTCAACTTATGCTCTCGCGCCACTACCTGTAATACAAAGAAAACTGAGTGGGTCAGGCTTGGGAGCCTGGTGAGCATATAGGGTTTTCAACCCACAATAAATAAATTTATTAATTTCATCAAACAACAATAACCCGATTACCCATTCCCGTTATCCTCACTTTACGTCCCTAAAAACAACTATCACAAGGGACCTAGTCTAAGGATTTTCATCGGGGCGACAACACTGTTTGGGGGGTTTCCCAGCAATTTATGTCAAATAAGGCAACCATGTGGGGGATGGAGTACATCAAATGAACACCCAAGCTCATTAACACCTACAGGTTGCGAGCCTGCCAGCGTTCCACAGGACTATCTAGAAAAGTCTGTGGTCGTCATCCATACTCCGCTAGATGACTGGATCACAATAACATCGAGGCCTCTCATCATTTTATTTCATCACACATCAACTATCTACCCATGTTTTACCCAACATATTTGTATATAAAAATACATATACAGTTAAATTTATTTAAAAACCTGTATAAATCATTCATTCATCATCCATCTCAAATAAATAAACAATATATATTCACATAGCACGTATTATATATAAAATAATTCATATCTATGTGTAAGATGAAAGTGACTATACACTCACATGATTTAACGATAATCGGGCAGCACTTCGTTTCCTAAAACAATCGTTTCCGATAAAATCGGGATGTTTTCCCAAAAACCGGGCTTCATACGGGCATAGTTTCGGCTCGAAAACTCTTTTTCTCGGGATCTTCAGGGCGTCGGGACTTGCTTCAGGTGTCGGGATGATACCAGGGCTTTGCGGGTACTTCAAGACGGCTAGAGAGAGTATCGGGGGTGAGAGAGTGAAAAAGAAACAACCAAACCCGACTGCCCCTTGAACTTCTATTTATATGGTGAAAATTTGAGATTCACCTCGTGAACCAAGTATGTTCACCTCGTGAATTCGATCCTCATCATCTCCTAGGCTTGCCGTGTAACACCGTAATTTTTCAAACAAAATTTTCATTTTAAAATCGCATACTTTTCATAACACATTGTATAGAAATCTCGTTTATTCAAATTACAAAACACAACTCCATTAATAATCCAGGATCCTCAAAACATAACTCTTTCTCTGGTGTGTACAATCAAGCCGATGCCTTCCCGCGATCCTCTGAGATACCTGAAACACATAACACATAACACGGTAAGCACGAAGCTTAGTGAGTTCCCCAAAATACCACATACAACACATAAGCCACTCGAGGCTATGACTCGGTATGTAACACCGTAATTTTTCAAAACTAAAATATTTATTTATAATCGCTTAATTCTTAAAACACTTTTCGTAAAAATCTTATTTTGTTAAATTACAAAACATAACTCCATATTCAATTAAATGATAATCCAGGATCCTCAAAAACATAACTCTCCCTCTGGTGTGTACAATCGAGCCGGTGCCGTCCCGTGATCCTGAGAAAAACCTGAAACACACAACACATAACACGGTAAGCACGAAGCTTAGTGAGTTCCCCAAAATACCACATATAACACATATTAGCCACTCGAGGCGATAACTCTGTGGGCCCACTGGCCCTAACTCTGTGGACCCTCTGGTCCTAACTCTATGGACCTTCCGGTCCTAACTCTGTAACTCTGGAATACACACAGCATAAATCACATAAAAATAATGCAGTGCAAACATATCACATACATAGCATACAAGATACTCTGTCACATAACTCTAATTACCACTCAAGGTAAAGTATAGTGAGAAGACTCACCTGACCAGCAACAAGTAAAGACCCCGCTTCCGAATCTCGAACTAGCCTCCACCTAACACAAGGGATGAATATCTCTAAGTGATACTCTAATCACAGCTCTAATGACCGAAGGCTATTCTACCTCCCTTTAACTCTTTGAAGTGGATAAAAGACCATTTTACCCCTTCATGGTCTCTACTACTTATGTTGATCAAAGCCCCAAAGTCAACAGAAGTCAAACTCGAGTCAACAGTCCATGTTTGACCTGACTCGCCGAGTGCACCCTTGCGACTCGTCGAGTCCACTTACTTTCCTCAGAAATCTCGTGACAGTCCAGCTCAGCTCGTCGAGTTGACCCCCAACTCGTCGAGCTATCGCCTGATTCGGTTCCTCAGGACAAACCCTAACCAACTCGTCGAGCCGGCTCATCGACTCGGCGAGTTCATTCAGACCAAATGTTCATTCAGACGATTTAAGGCAGATCCATCACCCCAAACACTAGATCTACCATCCTGAGGGTCGATTGTCACGTAAAGCTTCAAGCTTTACGTTTAAACATGGCATATAAGGCTCATAATTCCAATATAACTCTAACAAGGATGATTAACCACAATAACTCTTCTATGGTTAACTAAAGCTATAATCTTTGGACTCTCTGGACCTCACAAGGTCCAGATTTGAAGTCTAGGCCTCATGAGAGACCTTATGCATACAAAGTCCTAACAATGGTGGAAGAACCCTAATCTTCCATATCTACAAGATCTAAGCAAAATAACAAGAAAGGTGCAAGCTTTTACCTCTTACTCAAGCCCTTGCACGAAGTTACACCAGATCCACTGATTCTCTAGCTCCCTTGATGGGTGATCTCCTCTTCTCCTCAAGAAATGCACTAGTTTACTCCAAGTTTTAGCTTCTAAGACTCTCATGGCTCTCCATACACGTTTAGGGTTTGCTCTCAAGGAAGGGTAGCCGCAAATGAGGCTATAAGTTCCTTTAAATAGGTCTCAAACCTGGGAAATTAGGGTTTCTCTAATCAGCGCCTACTCGATGAGTCCCTCCTCGGACTCGTCGAGTCCACTCATTAAGTCCACAGAAAAAACTCGGCTCGACTCGGCGAGTTGGACCCTCAACTCGTCGAGTCTCTTCTTTAATCACAAGATCCAATTACACGATAATATCCCTGAAAATCCGGATGTTACAATTCTCCCCCACTTGAATTAGATTTTGCCCTCGAAATCACTCCTTAACCACTCACATAATGAAATCATCAACCCAAAAGGCACCACCGAAAGGATCTCATACTACACCGATATCTTTCTCTATGGACACCCGAAACCACACAAAACTCCCAAGACCAGAACTGAACCAACTCTTCCGTCGCTAATATACTCCTTCCCACTATCCGGAAGCTCTAGTGGCCTGACCCGCCGCCAGACCGCCTACTCAAGCGATCACCATGATATTCGCTCCTCGAATATCAAACCCTGATAACTCACTGATCCTCTGATTCTCACAAGACCAAATCCAACAATCGGCTACCGCTCACTCATATCAACATGCTAATGATCCAAATCACGCTCCAAGAAACGGAAGGGTCCACACCCCACCAGGGATCATACACTAAACTGCTATCAGAACCCATCCGATCAAAGAATCCTCAACACTCTGCCCTTCAGACACAAGAGAATAACCAGGCTCGCTCAGAAGTGTCCTCAGACATCACAATCACAAGTCCCAGCTTCGTTCTTCATACCCCTTTTTAATACTGAGCACTAGGTCAACTTCTGACTCCACAGTTGAACCTCCAAAGGTTACCCATTGCACACCTCAACATGTCTCACTGACTTCCTTCCCACACTAGCTATCTCGGCCCAGTGTGACACACAAGTCACGAAGTTCGCTTTTCCTCAAGCGAATACGGAATTCGTTTCACCCTCGACCTCTGTCGTCTACTACTCATTAGTTTCATGCATTTCGTGGTTTTCTCACACCAACAAATTGACCCACTCAGGTCTAAGGCACCAGATAGAAGCAATACCCCTTTCCAAATGAAATTCAGCTCTGAATCCGGAATCTCATTCTGCCTACTCAACGCACTACCAGAGCCAAACTCAAACTCGAGAGTTCGATCTGACCCAGAGCTGGAACCACTCGGCCCAACGAACCACTCAACTCATGACTCATGACCCGCAACCCATGCGAACCTCACTGATCCACTTCTCTTTGGCCACGAAAACCACTACTCAATTCAGAATATAACGACTTCCGACAAACATGGAGACCCCAGTCTCGCCCCTGGTTCGACCCCAAGCTTCCACACACTCAAATATTAGGGCTACCCAATCCTAAAACTCTTCTGCGTCAAGCTCTGATCAGAGAGCACTTCATCACAACATTCTCTCGCTGACTAAGCTGACTAGTGGGTACTACGGCTCCCCGCAGTATCACAACGACCTCTCACTGAATAGTGAGTACTACGGCTCCCCGTAGCATCACCACAACCTCTCACTGAATAGTGAGTACTACGGCTCCCCGTAGCATCACCACACCTCTTTGCACTGACTCATTGAAACTGCAGCTCCATGCAGTCTTACCGCACTTACTCTTACCATTTCACAATCTCATCCTCAGGTTGACACCATACTGCGATCATTAACTCATGCTCTGCGGCCCAACATAGATAGGTACACACACACCCCCATCCGAGCTAAGCATCACTACGTCGGACGACCATTGTCGTGA